TTATTTTATTCGTTTTTGTTTTATTTTATTTTACTTGTTTTTCGTTTATTTTATTCGTTTTTGTTTTATTTTACTTTATTTTTAGTGTGTTGTTTTATTTTAGTTGGTTTTATTTTATTTTATTTTATTTTATTTTATCAGCAGAAGCAGCAGCAGCAGCAGCAGCAGCAGCAGCAGCAGCAGCGGCAGCAGCAGCAGCAGGCGAACCTTATTGAATTGCTGCTTCATGAGTCGAATAACATTCTGCACCAACAGCGTCTCCTTGTCCTTTGTCACCTGTATAAATACACTTTTGTTTGTTTATTAGTTTTTTGTTTTTTAATTTTATGTTTATTTTTTTGTTTTTTTTTTGTCTATTTGTTTAGTTGCTGCTTGTTTAACTGCTTGATAGTTCCTCCATGTGCTTTTTGTTTTTTTGTTTTTTTGTTTTTTTTTTTTCTCTCGCTTTTGTCTTTTTACGATTGCTTCTGCTTTTGTTTCTTTATTTATTTTTGTTTATTTGGTTTTTTATTTGTTTTTGTTTGTTTGTTTGTTTGTTTTTGTTTGTTTAACTGGGGGGGCGCACCTGACTGCCTAGTTGCTGGTACTGCGTATACACCTCAGGGCCGAAATGTTCTGTGAGTGTTCTCTGTTGCGTTGTTTGATGAAATATTTTTTTTTATAATTTTTTATTTATTTTTAATTTTTATTTCTGTTTGTTTTGTGTTGTATTAAAAATGTATTCAGTTGAAATACCTTTATAGAGGCCTCCTCTTCTTCACTCAGCTGCGCTGGACTAAACAAATACAAATCTATATGTGAAACGAGCTACAAAAAAAATAATAAAAAAATACCAGCTTACGCAGACTCGAACTCCTGCAGCATTTGTCTAACAAATAAATAAATAAAACACAAAAAGGATAAACGTCTACAGGCGAAGGAACAGAAGTAAATGTTTACTACCTCATATACGAGACCGCCGGTGCTGTTGCAAGTCCGTGATTTCAATAAAAGAATAAATACAAAATAAAACAAAAGAAAAAAAAAGAAAACTAAAAAGCAGAAAAACAGTCACCTCCGTATTGCTTGTTTAATCGCAGTTCCAATTCGCGCACAACTGTGCCGAAAGAAAGAAGAAAAAGAATAAGAAAAAGAAGAAAAAGAAGAAGAAAAAGAAGAAAAAGAAGAAAAAGAAGAAAAAAGAAAACAATTTTACTGCATTTCTTTACTCTCGAGAAACAAAAACAAACCCACGTGCAAACGGCAGCGGCGAAACAGCAGAAACATCAGCCTGAAACGACGATCCAAAAAAGAAGAAAGCGATCATCAATTGGCGTTTCATGTTAGGAATCCACCGACGAAATGTTTTATTAAAGTATTTAATTGAGAAAATACAACAAAGAAAATGTATTTATATTCAATAAAAGTCAGAATGAAAGAAGAAAAAGAAACATGAATATGCGCGCAACGCCGAGCTGCCTATACACCCCAACCGACGGGCGGTATCTATCACGCCTGATCCTGTGCCTCCAACAGAGAAGTTGAATCTGCAGAATAAATCAAAAAAAAAACCGCACAAATTAAATAAATTATTTAAAATATTAATAAAGTGAAACAAACCATCAATATAAACAAAAAAACTCCGCTCCTTCTTCACCAAACTGCACACATAAACTGCTGCTAGAGGGGAAACGCCAGAACTTGAATATTTCTTTCTCCGCACCTTCTGACGGCTCCTCCTGAAACAAATCGTCAAACGAAAACAAAAAACGCGGCGTACGCTTCGCCTGGCTAACTATCAACTCATCTGCTGCCCGGGCGCGCAGATACAGTCGCCTGCACTCATCACACCGCAGCAACACCAGCAGCAATAGCAGCAGCAGCAGCAGCAGCAGCAACAGCAGCATAAGCAGCAGTAGCATCTTCTCCCTTTACAGGTTAATTCCGTTTCATTAGAAACAGGTGAATAAGCAGAACAAAGAAGGGCCGTCTCCCCCACCCCTCCCACCCCCCCCNCCCCCCCCCCGTTCAACTGCATTGATTCGTTTTATTTATTTATTTAATATATTTATTTATTTATGTATTTATTTATCCCGTGTGTCTGTCTGTCTGTTTACCTGCATGCAACAAGGCCAGTAACTAGAGCAGCAACCATCACGATGGTAGAGATGAACTGACACAGCGCCGCAGTAGCAGCAACAGCTCGCACAGCCTCGGGGGCGATCATCTCTGCGGGGCGGCCCCACAGCAGCTTCATAGCGACGCCTTGGCTTGTATCTGTGTATAAAAAAAATAAAAAAATAATAAAAATATATAAATAAAACAACAACACACAAATCTATCAATTCTATACAGAAACCACACATATACAACACACTAAACACCAGCAACGCACTCAGCTCATACTGGTATAGGTGCTGCTGCAGTTGCTACTACAGTTGCTGCTGCAATTGCTGCTGCAGCTGGAAGACTCACGGCGTGCCAGTTGGGTGCAGAAGGCCGGCACCCCGTGCAGCAGAAC